TAATATAAAATTAAATGTACAAGATAACTATTAACAAAGTCTGAAAGAGAGGATGTTACTGGTAGGTGTGGTAGGAGGGGTGTGATTTTCTATTTATAGCTCTGTAATGAAACAAAATTGAAGGCTGTAAAAATTATGGTTTGTCTGAGCAATGATGATTTTATAGTGAGTAATTTACCTTTAATTTCATAGTTACTGGAGGAGCGATGGATAAAATAGAGAAGATATCTAGAGAAAATGTGTCATGTGTGTCACACTAAGGGAAATTCAGAATTTTTTTAAATATTGCCTTATAGAATTAAGAATTATATTAAGAACTTAAAACTTGTATATTATTAAAATATGGATTATTAGCTAAGATTTTATGCTATACTAATTGCTATAACATAAACAAAAAGTAGTTTAATGAAATTTTGAATGTGAGACACTAAAACCTTGTGTCATGCACGTAATGGAAACCCATGGTGAAAGTGTTAATATTACTTCTAACATGTCATGTATATCCATCAGTAACTAAGCTAACAAACAACACCATACCAATGTTTGATGGCACCCTGTGGGACATGTAATTTGGTTCTTCATAAACCCAACCTACTGATTTGCTTTGTTAGTCAGTTGGTGCCCTGTGAGATTGCACTGTTTGCACTGCTCAGAGTATTGCCCTGCTAACCAGTTGCCATCCAAGCTGTATGATATACAAGATTTGAGTCTACATATGGCCCTATTATTTCTCAAATCGCATTAGGTTCAGATATTAGTAGTCACTTTGACTCCTAATGTTCATTTAAGTGACTTAATATGTTGTTGTTGGTGTAGCTCATCAGTTAGCTTTTGTACAAGCATTGCTATTCATTTTGGGAAAGCAAACAAAGTGTAGTCACACTATATAATTCCTCATGCACACACATATATGTACAGCATTCAATGTCATATTGAGGTTAACTCTATAACCCATTCAGGGTTTTCCACTTCTTAATAATTGTTAGCTGTGCTATAAGTGAAAAATTTCAATGTTGTAGTGGAAAATATTAGATTATATGAGATAATAAATACACAATAACATGAATATATCAATATAAGGCTTGAATTTCACACTTGCTAAATGCAAGTGCCATATTTATAATGTAAGTGTATATTATAAAAACTTGCATTTGTTTGCAGTTAATTTAGTTTAAAGCCTCAAGCATTTCTTCAACTTTGAATCGGTAATGTTTAGGAAAAATAAATTATATAGTTTTTATATATTCATTTTATCAACATATTGAAAAGGTCCTAATGACTACACAACCTGTGTGAAATATACTCACTAAAAATGTTATCTGTGATTTTACTTGTAGGAAGTTGTTAAAAATAGTAAAACTTTACTCTTGGATTAAGATTATTTAATCAATATATTGTAGCTTTGCATTACTTGCAATATCACTTCAAAGCTTAGCTTTATAATACCTAAATAATTAAAGAAACAAATGAGGTGTGGTATGGATTCTGTGAACTGCACATGTATTTCATGATTAATGTATGATCAGTACTGCTTCTGAAGATAATAATGTTTTATCAGATCACTTGTAAATTGAACAGTAAGAAGTAACATGAATTTTTATTATTTTCAAAGTTGCAGATAAACGTTTTGCTAAATGAAAAGTTGTTGACTTGTGGTCACTTTTGAAGTATTGTTACTGCTATTGTAAATTCATATGTTGTTGATAACTGTGTGATATAGTAATTTAAGTTCAGACTTCTGATTTTTTATTTGAATTTATTTTGTATTACCTTTTTGAGAATGTACATTTTCTTCAGAAAGAGTAACTTGTGTGAAAATAAACTATTCATAACCTTGTGGTAGGATTAACAATGTGTTTCAGTAATTGGATGAACACTTTTATAATAAAGCTAATTTTGTATGTTGCTGTTTTATTGAATTGCTGTACTTTTGTGAATTGTTATTTGCTCTAGGCATCGAGCACTACAAAAGAGGCAGAGTTTTCTAAAAAGCAAATGATTTACCACCGATTCACTAAGAAGAAATAATGTGATAATAAGTAAAATGAAGTGCAAACATGTTAATACAAAGCAGTTTTAATGTTGCTCTACCTTTCAGATATGAAAAAAAATGTGTATTGTTGCATGTGCATCAGACATTGCAGATTAGTTATCTAATATGTTGCCTGTGTTAAAATAGGTCCTTCATACAATAGTCCTTGTAACAATCTTTTGAATTATTATAATAGCATAATACAGCGAAAAATATGATTCAGAAAATCTGCTGAAACATAGAATAAATACAGGGAACTGAATGACTTCTTATGTAATAACTGCATGTTAAAGTGGAACAAAAATCAGTTAAGAAACATTCCTTCTCTCTCTCTCACTTTGACTGATGTAGAACAGAGATGATAAGGCAGTGGTTTATTAGTTGCTATAAAGCTTTTTAGTGAAAATATTTTGCCGGCTGTTCTAATGTATATAAAAACACTCCTAGACAAATGTGTTATTATTGCATTGGGCAGATGTGTTGCATTTTTCATTAATTTTTTTTACTCAGTATTTATTTTCAGATCATATTACTTGCTGATATTGTCAAAACATTTTAAGAGTGGTGAGCAATTTGAACTTTAATTCGAACATGATTTAGTTGCAAGAAAATTAACAAGATATTTAGATTAAGAGAGTTAGTAACCACTACTTATTAAGAGCAGGATTTTCTTGTAAAGCCATTACAGCTGGAATTTCATTAGAATATTTACATATAGAGTTGTGCACAAGGTGATTTTGGAAATGCACATAATACATGTATTGTTAGTGCAATGAACAATCATTATTTAACCTGAAGATCAGTTATGAAATGCAAGTTGTTTTATACTCATTAGAATAAATACATTTATAACATTATTGTTTCAGAATTTCTTTCTTTTTTGTGGAGATTAGGAACATGTGAGTAAAAATCCTATAGGCTGCATTATTTAAAAGTTACTTGTCAATATGCTTCCACCCCTGTCCTTGTTATATTGATTAAAAGCCTTCTCATTACTAAAATTTTTTTAAATTCTTAGAAAAATATTTTCTATCAAGTTACAGTGTACTTTGTTTTTCAAATTGTTAAAAGTTAATGGATTAAAACATACAGCTAACATTATAAAGTTTAATTTGGTATTAAGTATATAGAAGTATAATGCTAAGTATTTATTAAAAATGTTTCATGCATATTTATTACATAACTGTATTTTCAGTTGGCTGGAATAATTAAACCTAATGATGAAAAATGTCATCTGGATGATAAAGGATATTATACAGAAACCACTACTCTGGATTATCCATCATTTAGTCAGATCAATCGAAAGATAAAAGAGCATAAAGTCAATATAATCTTTGCTGTAACAGAAAGTCAGTATGAAATCTATAACAAACTTAGTAAGAAATTTGAAGGTTCTGGAGTTGGAAAACTTGATAAGGATTCTGCTAATGTTGTGGATCTTGTTCGAGATCAGTATAATGTAAGTAATGATTTGTTTTATGTAGACTTTATCCTGTAAAGTTTTAACACAAATCACACTCTGTATGGATGTGTTTGATGGGAAGTAAATTTTTTGAGTAAGATATTTGTGGACAAAACAATCATTGAATTGAAATTTATTTTGTAAAATATAGCAGTATCAATAAAACTAATGAACACACTCAAAATTCAACAGTATCATTAGGCCTAGCTACTGGTTAGTTTGTATGCTCTTCCTGCACTTAACTTGAAAAGATAAAACATAGAAAATAAATGTCATATACAATGTAACTATTTAATAAGAGTTGATTAATCAACAGAACTAATTAATTTCAAAAGTTACCAAAACTATAATTTCTGTCTCAAAGAGCCAAGTAATTAACAATGCTTGTAAATTCAGGCTACTATAATGTCAGATTGCTGAATTTGAGAGACTTCAATTTCCTATACGGGCTTAGGTCTTCTCACACAAAGCTATCTAGATCTTCTTTCTGCCCCCTAAGCATTGCTAAAAAATGTTAACACTCACTGTACCAGTCTTTATACCCCACAAATTTTGCATCACTTTTGAAGATGTATATAGATGTGACCACCTTCCAACAATAGTATAGCACTACCTGCATTAGTGCAGTTATCTCACTCTGATTTTCCCGCTCAATCCTCAGTTTCTTGATTAGCACAGCATCGTGTAGACGTGTTTTTTACATGTGGCTACCATTTATGATTGTACATTGCTCACATTTCAATACCTATTTCAACTCTGTTCTTTTACTGTGTTTGCATTCAGTTGTTTCAGGTTTTTTTTGCATTTGTTTATTTTTACCGAATTATATGGTAACTTAGAATGACTTCATGATTCGATGTATTGACAAAGGAAGTTCCCGTTATGGAAGATAACGCTTCTGGTATGACTACCCAGGCATTGGGTTTGACATTACCTGCTGAGGAGGTACAGGTCTTAATTTGCAGGGAACTAGGTTCCTATGTTTGGCCAGTGATTTGTTCTCATTTTCAACCTGACAATGTTTTTTTAGGATGAATACAATCAAGGAGAAGAAAATTGGATTCACTTTTTCTGGCATGTTCTTATTTAGGTCTTTCACACTACACCTTTTTTTATAGCTGGTTAATCAGGAATGTGGTATATTACATATTTCCTTTTCCTCCTAGCTTGTCGTAAATCAGATATTTATTACCTCTACCACTGAAGGTGAAGGAGGTTATGTTTCACTCGTGTGTGTGTTTTTGTCAGCAAGATTTCTCGAAAATGGCTGAATGAATTTGTACGAAAGTTGGTATGCATGTAAATTATGACCCAACTTAGAGTGATTAGTTTTTGGAGGGTCAAGGTTGAAAGTCAAGGTCACAGAAAAGGCATGAAAATCCAAAAAGTCCCTATCTGTTAACGTGAGGACTAATTTTTCACACTATTCTTGTTCTATAACTTAGTCAAAAAATTGTTGGATTTTGATGAAACTTGGTGGGCATATGTAGAATATTTGTTCTGCCTAAAATGGTCCAGGTCCATTGATAATGACAGAGATACAGACACATTTTTGTATTTTTTTATGGTTAAATATGATCAATGCTGTGTTTTGGAAGTATGCACTCAACTGAATACCCCTCTAGTGCTGTTAATGTTATCAGAATCCTCTACCACTCTTCTTACATTGTCCTATATCCAGACTAGTCCTTCCTCCCTAATAGATCTGTTGCCTGGGAAGGCCATTTGACTTTCCCACCCATTTCTTTACCTTTCATCTCCTACCTGTACTCACTTTCCGATCCCACTCAGCACGTTTGTCAGATTTGCTCTCCTAAGTGTTATGTAGCACATACTGCCTTTATTCTGGGTTCATGTTCCCAACCTTTTATTCCCTGGGACCCTTCTATTTCCCATGATCTATTCCCTGTCACATTAACTGGTTGGGTTCTTCACCTCCTTAGGCTGGCATGTTCAGACTTATCCATGAAAGGTCACTGTTTCCTTGAAGTTTCTTCTCGTCAAATCACTATGTCTTTGGCTTATCGTCTTTGCCATCCATTGGAAGAATTCGTTCAGGCTATAATGTGGACTACTCCCTAGTCCTTCAATATTTATTATGTGCTATATCTAACTGTATCTTTCTCAGGTGGATTCATCTCCATTCTCTGACATTTCTACATGCATCTATTCACCTTCGACTTGGGTATGTCTATTCACAACATTTCATTGATGTTTTCTTTTCAGGGACCCTCTTTTACTGCTACTACTAGAATCCCACTCTGTGGCGAGTGTTGCCTGGTCAGATGTGCTTTCATTCAAACCTGCACTATATACTGGTGGAGCTATAATGGCATGCCTTGTGGTATATACTTATGTATCTGTAAGTTTCACTCAATGGAGGACTGTCACTCATGGACTATCATGAGTAAAGCAAAAGGGGATTTTTGGCCATCCCTACTGACCCTTTGATTGCATAAATCAGGGTTGGTCTTCTATTCAAAATAGGGAATCATGGACACCAATTGCACTTTCTGAATGCTAACTTCCTCTTTGTAACTCCAGTTGCTTGATGTATGACACACTGTTCACTTATGGTTTGGGTTGGTATATATATATATATATATATATATATATATA